CATAAGAAAGGAAGTCGTTCAAGACTGAAGATTATCTGATCATTACCTTTTCTCTTTCGCTCAAGGCCTGCAGCGCTTTCTTCTCTTTTTCTTCTTCTTCCTTCTTTCTCTCAAGAGCTTTTTGTTCCTAAACAAAGTCACTTCGGACGTTAATTCTTACGGTTACTTTTGCATTGATATCTAGAAGAGAAAATATTCATGAAACCAGTTCAGGACTTCAGAAGACAAAAAAGATGTGCATATGAAATGTTACCTTTAATCTCTGTTTCTGTGCCTTCTTCTGTGCTTTCTTCCGTTCGGCATTCCGTTTCTCCTTTTCGTTTTCCATCTCTGGTGTAAGTGCACTTGGAATCTACAGACACATGAAAGACTTTTTTTTCTGGTCACTTCATTTTGCAATTAAAACACTAACAAGATAACTGCGTCACTTCGGCGTATACTCATCAAGAGTTATCTGTGTCCAGTGTACAGTGTACTGATATTTAGAAAAGAGCTCAAAGAAAATGCACAGAACTAGCACGAGATGTTGACGCAATGGTGGCACGAGCAAAGAGCCGGAGTCACAGTTGTTGTTTTCTTTTTTTTTTTTTTCGTCGCAGAATTTGCTGAAAGAAATACAAAACATGTTCACCGTGTTTCTATCGAGTCAACAGAGAAACACTCGCGGAAATTTGGGAAAATTCGAAAAAGCTGTGGAAACACTCGCCTCTCGGCTCGTGTTTCCACAGCATTTCTCGTTCTCCCAAGCTTCCGCTCGTGTTTCTATTTATCAATTCTAAATCCTCTTCACAGACACTTCGAAAACGCAAACAAGCGGCTGTCCTTTTGCTAACAAGCGCACACTGCTACGCTACTCACTATCTATCACCGAATAGCTGGTGAGTAGCATAGCCAATCAGAGAGCGACATTCATGATAGAACGCTAGTAGATTTACACGAAAACTCGATAGAAACACGGTGTTTTCTATTTTCTATTTCGTATTATTTTTTGCGATGCATAAACTGGACTGAAATCACAAGAGTCCTTTAAGATAATTTACTAAGATAAAAAAACATCAAAACCAGACGGCAACTGACCAAGATGGTTAGGACTGGGGAAGATTGAGACAGATTACGAA